TGAAACTGGAAGCAGAAATTCTCCCATAATAAAGATGTTAAGCAAAATGTAGCAAGGTGTAGGCCAACAGGTTTTGTGGTCCATTTTTTGTATTTTCCCCCAGTAAGGAATAGGTTTCACCAGAGCAGGTATGAATTTTGTTGCAACACTTAGGGAGCAAAGTTTCACTTTCTTACAGTTCAGATCTCCATTGCTATTTCATGGTGGAGTAGGGATGTCTGGCTGTTCCTGAGTGTCTTCTTTTTTAAACTCTATTATCAGATTATTAATGGAATAGGATTATATATGACATTAGTTTTGAGGAGTTTGACACTGGTTACCAAATATATATTCATTGACTTAGCAGCTTAAGATCTACGGACATTTATAAAACTATGTAGACAAATAAAAATGAATTAATAACTAAATATGAGAATGTGTACTCCTCCCACTGGGGAGGAGTGAGCGAGGGGCTGCCTGGGGCTTAGTTGCCAGCTGGGATTAAACTGCCACAAGGGATTTCAATTTTCTACTGCTGCCTTTAATTGCTGGATGCTAAATATAATATCCAAGGCTAATAAATGCGTACTGAGAAATTAAGAATCAGGGTGGCATGCCAAAGGCAAGTCTATTATAGCACCATATGATGGTGATGATAATGCCCATTACAAGCTAGAAACTAAACATCTTCAAGCATGACTATGAATCATGAAAAAATCTCTTGGCTGGGAGGCATGGGCCAAGCAACTGGAGCATACTCTTGTGTGATTTCTGAGATGTTACCATGACTCTCTATTCCTGGTACTGGTTTCATAAGTTTCTTGCTTTTTGCTGTTTTCTGAGAAAGTCTCTGGCGTTGTTCCCTTGACTATGAGTTTCTCCTCACCCAGTGACCATCATTCCCTATGAAATACTCAGCTGGCTGCACCACAGTGTAGCTGTTAGTCACACTTGTCCTAACATGGACCCTCTGCTTTCTGACCCGTTTGGCTGCCAAAGCAAGAAAGTCTTCAGATGCCTTTTTGGGTGGAGAGGGTGGTAGGGAAGATGGGCAGACATCAGGGTGTCCTTGGCCCCCTGAGCTCCCCAGGGGGTGCAGAAATGACTGCTACCCTTGCCCTTCTTCTGACCAGATCCAAACCCCCTGCCAACATGTCTTGGACTGTCTCTAAAGCCATGTCTTCAGATGAGCCCTGTCCTTAGATGGGTTATAACATGTAGGGGTGGAAACAGCAAGGTGTACTGGCCCAAAAGAGGGTATGGGAAGGGTTCTATCTTGTTTTAGGAGCTCCCATTTATAGATGGATTCCTCTGCATTGATCTTACTGGTTTAATTGAATGAGTAGCTGCGTGTGCAGTCTTGCTTCAGAAGCAGACTTTAAGAGGACACAGTTGCTTAAGGGCTTTCATGAAGAGATCCTGTGGTTTTTAAAAGGACTTACTGCTGGCTTATTCAGGAGAAAAGGTCTTGCTTGGGGAGTGGTGTTTGGAAAGGCTTGTTTGGGTGCTGTCTGTCTCTGCCTCAGCATGCTGGTGGCCCTGATGTCATCACAGTTGGCCATGGGTTAGGAGTGGCATCCACCCTGGGGCATTTGCAGTGCTGCCTTGCCTTAAGACCACAGGAGAGCTCTGTGGTGGGTGGTGGCTAGGAGGTCCTCTTTTTTTGCTCATGGCTTTGAAGAAGCCCAAGATAACTTGGGGGAGACAATAATAACACTTTTTGGCTCTTGTCAGTGTAAAACACATCACTGGAATTGGTGCCTGAGGAAATGAAGTCCAGCATTTCCATGTTTTTCCCCTGAAGTGTGCCTCCAGTGATGGAGCTCAGGAATAAAGGCCTGAATTTTGCTCCTGTGAGCAGGAATGTGACTTGAGTGACCAGGGTTTGGCCCCCATGTTAGGGAATTTTATCCTTTCACCTATAAAATCAGAAGGAGAAGAAGCAACGGTGGAAATCTGGCCAGTTTTTCTGAAAGGCTAAAAGGGAATCTGGGACAAAGGAAGCCTCAAAAGTCAGAAGTGCCTCAAACAACAGTGCACTCCCTGAGGGAATCTGCTCTTGCACTTCATTTACTTTGTCATTTAATTAGGCTGTCATTGGAACTGGCTCAGATCTGATGGGGGAAATGAAAACAGCCCAGGGATGATGTCACTACTGAAACAGCATGGGGCTCTCACTTAGGGGGACCAGGGGTAATTAGGGGTACTTAAAGACTTCATTTCCTGTTCTTATGTCTCCTTCAAGCTCAAAAGTTTACTGCTGCTTAACTTCTATGAGTCTATTTTCTGTCTATTCTTACATTTTTTTTTTGTCTCCTGGCAAATTGAGGAAACATATCAAAATACCTTTTAAGGGGTAGGTGGTCCCTTGAGGGGTCTAGAGGAATTGCTAGCAGTTTAGCTGTCAGGAGCTTGATTTTTCAGAATAAATATGGTGGGGGTTTTTTACCACATTTTTTTTTTTATACTATGAAACTTTTGCAGCAAAGAACACTGGGCTTCAGCTTCATGAGTAGAGACATGCAAGGACACCAAATGGAGAAAGGACAAGAAATGGGAATGTGGTATGTGATGCAAGTGTTGTTAAAGCTGCATGTGAGGATTCCTTACATGGATGGTCTTGAATCCTTTTGCAAGTAAATCATAATTAAAAAAATAAATAATTTACTTTATCTGCACCCCAGATTTGAACTGATGTTCCCCACTGTTTTGCTGGTGAAGTGAAGGCAGCAGCAGAATACTCTCACACCTCCAAAAACATTTTTTTCTCTTGTGAAACAGTGGCCCACTTGCAGAAATTCAATATCTGCTTCTTAGTCTTTCTCTACCTGCACTCTGAGGACATCCCTTGTTAGCTGTTCAATCAATAAAGAACACATCTTCAGTCAATAGTAAATCTAGTTTATTAAAACACAGGTTTGACAGTTAATTCAATTGCTAACAAAGTTGTAACGTGGTCAATACCAGAACAAAGGGACCTCATAAATGAAATACATATATCCTCTAGATGCAAAATTATCTCATAGTAAGGTACATTGGATGAATACAGACAAAACCATGTTAGTGAGATTAGAGTGTGTCTATTTCTCTCCATTCCCATGTAGTATTTAAGATATACAGTATCTCAGAAGCTCCACAACTGTCACTTGTCCCTGCTCCTGGCAGGAGAAAACCACAGAAAAAGGTCTGACCTTTTCTTTTCAATTATTTCTCTCCTCTCTCTCTGCACAGGCTACCAGCTCAGTCCCATTCCCAGTGCAAACAAACAGCAATATTCCCTTTTCCTTCAGTAGCACAGGACCAGTCACTGCAGGAGTTCACACAGCCATCACTAGGTCAGCTCTCAGGTATGCCACTGAGCTCTTGAAATAAGGATTTGGAGCATGAACTGTAGTGAAGACACCATAAAACTCTGTGCTTACATCAAAGGCAGTGTGAAGTGACTGAAGCAGATTGACTCTGCAATTGAAAATAACCTCTAGATAGCCAAGAAAAAAAAATATCACTTTCCCAGTCATTTGCCAAGTACTTTTCCACCTGGCCAGCAATGATTTGTTTTCTGCATATTTCAGAGAGAGCTGAAAATAGCTAGCTGCAGTTATTTTTATTTGGGAGCAGCAGCATTGACTTTGTTCAGTGCTTTCTCCAGAAAAGCTCAGAACTTTGAGAAAGTATCTTCACTGGCAGAAACACTGCTTTGAGTGTTTTTCACAGGGAGGGAAGGCTTTCAGCATTTTTGTTAGTTTTCCTGTGGGACAGGCTGCTTTCCTGGAATACACAACAAATCTTCTTGTCCTTTTTTTTTTATTAAAAATTTAGGTCATTAAAACCAAAATACAAACATGGTCAAATGGAGTTTGGAACCTGTTTTCATTTAACTGCAAGTGGTCTGATTTTTAGGAAATGAATTTTAGAAAATATCCAGTGACTTAAAAATGCAAGGAGCTATTTGGTGAGGCTCTCCTAGGTACACATAGGTGTAGCTCCTCTTGGCTTTCTAAAACAGCCCTCCTCCTCCTCCTCCTCTGCTGCCCTGCCTTCCCTCCTGTTCCAGGCTTTTTCCCTCCCCATTGCATTGGTGTTTGTTTTGTCTCAAGAAGTTCAAAGCAACTGGAAGCTAATCCTATAATAAAAGGGACCAGTTTCCTCCTTGGAGCAGGCAGGAGGTGAGGGATTAGGGATATCTTTGGCAGCAGTTTGCTGTCAGGCTGGTTTACCTGCGCAGAGGAAACTACTCCCTAGCTACCTGTTTGGACCAAAATAATTCTAAAAGTTTGTCTTTGGATCCCTGCATGGCAACTGGCAGCAGAGAATGTAAAAACAAGAGGTGCAGGGTGCAGGCTGGTGCTCTGTGTGCCTCCATCCTGCCCTCACTGCCAGCAGGCACCTTACTCATAGTGCTCCATGCTGATGCCATTTGCCTCAGATCATTATCTCACTTGACTATCAGTCAAATGTTAAGCAAGGTACGTTGGTGGCCTCATCAGAGCAGAAAATTTGGAAATGTTAAGGCCTTCTGAACAGCATGATTTGTAAGTCAGTCTCAGCAGAAGGTATCAGTGATGCTTTACATTTCTGTGAGGTGCCAGTCTGTGGCCAGCGTTTGCAAAGGGAAGTGACAGAGTGTTGAATGTCACAGTGCCTGACCCATGGACCTCTGCACACACAGGGGAATGGAGCACAGAGAGGTTCAGGCACAGACACTGTGGTGGGCAGGTGAGTATTTCCTAGTTGGTTGAGTATGGTGAAATGAGATAAACAGACTCTATCAATCCATCAATTTGGGAAGGTGGACACTAGAGGCATAGTTACACTGCTAAACAGCAGAGGACCAGGGATGACACCCAGACACCTCCATCCTGCCTTGGTTTTGGCCATCCCTAATGAGCTGTCTCCAAGCCCTTTGGCTCCAGAGGTGCCTAGCACTGTGCCCCATGGCTTCAGGCTGCTCAGTACCACAGTCTCTACCACTGAACAGTAGGGTCCTACCGGCACCACACCGGTCTGCAATTCCCCCCCAGCTACCTGCAGTACAAACTTCTGATTTGGGCTTTGAAATTTTCAGCAGCAAAATAATAGAGGATGGGGTCGAGGCAGCTGTTCATGGCAGCGAGGCAGAGCGTGACCACCAGGGCCTTGTGCACGGGCAGGCTGGACTGGCTGCAGCTGCTCTGCACCAGGTGGACAGTCCGCAGGACGTGGTAGGGCAGGAAACAGAGGAGGAAGAGGATGAGGGTGATGATAATGGTGGACAGTGCCTTCTTGTGACAGACTGCCTTTTTGTGCTGTGGAGACCTGGACTTGAGCAAGGCTTTGATGGCAAAGACGTAGCAGACAATGATTGTGCCAAAGGGCAGGATGAAGCCCACGGCGATGACGAAGCTGTTCATCACCAGGAGCCTTTGTTGGCTGGAGGGATGGAGGTCCAAGCACTTGTCTGGGTCGCTGTACCCAGCGATCTCCTTGCTTAGCAGAGGGCTGGAGGCTACCAGCACGAAGAGCCAGATGGCTGTGCAGATTATCCTGGCATACTTCTTGTTGGTGACCTTCCAGTGCTTGAAGGGGTAGACGATGGCAATGAAACGAACCACGCTGAGCACGGTGAGGAAATAAATGCTGCAGTACATGTTCACGTACAGGGCGTAAGTCATGATCCTGCAGGTGATGTCACCAAACACCCAGTGTGATCCCAGCAGGAAATACGTGGCCCGAAAGGGCAAAGTGCTCACAAACATGAGATCTGAAACAGCCAAGTTCTGCATGTAGATGTTAACCGAGAGCTTCCTCTGCGAAGGCTGGAAGAAAACATAAATGGAGAAGCCATTTCCAGCAGCACCCAGGAAGAAGATAAAGAGATACACAATGGGATAAATGACTTGCTTGAAGCTGTCAGTTGAACAGTTGAAGGAGCTGTTAGTGGAGTTGTCAGCCAGTGCCATCTCAGAAGTATTCATAAGCCTAGAGTTAGGCTCTCTGTCCTTCTGCCAAAGTAAAAAGAAGAGGTGTGAGTGCTGGCTGACAGGCTGGCCAGGGAGTTCAGCTTTCAGGACTATTTTGCTGAGGGCAGAAGTTGCAATATGCAGAGGGCAATGGAAAGCAAAGGTTCTTTAATGAGTTATTAGTTGTGATGTCCCAGTAAATACACATCTCAAGGCATGAAGCCTCAAGTCATCTCTAAACAGTTTCAGTACTACAGCAGCTGGTTGTTATCTCAATCTGTGAAAGTGCTGCCTTTTAAATGTGAGTGCTATGTCTGTGTTTTAATGGCAGGTCTTTGATCTCCTCTGGACAAAACAAGCAGCTTGCTGCCAGCCAGCTTGCAGCAGGGAAGTTTTGAGTCCCCAGTTACCCAGCATGGAAGTATCAAAGCCTGATCAGAAAAGGAATCACGATCTACTGGTAAGTCATTTAAAATTAGGATAAAGAGCCAAAAGAATTGAATTTACCTTTTGGAACTAGTGATATTTTCTCTGCTATGTTGTTGGCAGTATGTCACTGAACTTTCACAAGCAATACCAGAGACACGTTGTCATACATCAGAATGTATAAATTAAGGATATTTTGACCTTTAACACTGCATACATACTGTGCTAGTTACATGTGGTTCCTTTTCTGACTCCTTCCTCCTTACACTGCATTACTTCTTTCTTGTAAGATTTTGATGGCTTTCTGTGTCTCTTTTCGTGGGGCCCTTGCTTCATTTACCACTTTCTCAGCAGCTTTTGTGCTCAACTGCTCTACATCAGAGACTCAACCACAGGCATTGCAGCTTCCAGGGCAGCCCATGTTTGCAGCCCTAATGAAAATGGCCCTTGAGAAAACAGGCTGTGTTCACAAAGAGTGATATTTTTCCTCCTGTGAGGCTATAATTCAATCAAATCAAAACCACTCACAACTAAAACTCCCCAAATATTTTTGTTTTTCCTCATTAGAGGCTATTTACTTGCTAAACTCCTGATTTCTTCTCTCAGCTGGCCTGCAGCTAGTAGTATTTTGAAGGGAAGGTTTCAGTATTGTTGCTTGTTTAATAGATTCCCTCTCTGCATCTGCCAACATATTCTGGGGATGGAGCATGGAAAACTTTAGCCTAAAACCCAGAACTCTGTGGCACCTCTAGAAAGAAAAAGAAAAAGAAGTTTTTAATTTGCCCCAGTGAAAGTGATAATGGGTTGATGGTACACAACTGTGCCCTATCTCTTATTCTGGACCTCATTGGCTCCACAGTTTGATATTAATTTATTTACCCAGAAAAGCAGGCTAGGTTTGGGTGCTCTGGACTCCCTGTTACCCAATGCAGTCTTCCCACTGTGCTGTAAATCATAGAATCATAGAATCCTTTAGGTTGGAAGGGACCTTCAAGATCATCAAGTCCAACCACCGAGCCATTAGGGCTCTAAAGTCCTCTGCTAAAACTGAAACTCAAGCCATGGTGTGGGAGCCTGACCTATGTTCAGAGCAGACAATAATATCTTCAGGGAGGTGTCTCTCTGGATCCCTTAATACAGCAACCAGATGTGCCTCAGCAGCTGCATTTTACCAAGCCCCACTGTGACACAGAGCATGGGAAGCTCTGCTCTGGGCTCAGAAGGAGCAGGACTAACCCCCCTGCCAGCATGAGATGGGAAGGTGGCAGCTGGAGGAAGTGGGACACTTGCTCAGACCCACATCATACCCATCTCCCCAGTGCCTGAAATTCCCCCTCCAGAAAACAGAGTTAAGAATATCTACTGAGCTTAGGAGCACTGAAGACTGCAAGTAGACAAGCTGGATATTGGGGCTGACCAAAGCCCCAGACTCAGTAAACACGTGCTCCTGAAGGAAATCTCCTCATTTGAGACCCTCTTCCCCTGCAGAGGGGAGAGACAAGATATATTCCCCAAATCACAAGAAAATACCTATGCTTGTTGAAGTGTGCCTGTTGTGTGGGCCACCAAACACTAATGAAGAACCTGGAGAGTGGACAAATTCAAAACCCTGCTGAGCACCCTGAGTGGTGGCTTGTGGCCTGACACTATGTGTGCAAGGAGGAGATTCAGGCAATGAAAATTCAGTTGCTGAAAAGCCCATGGGTCCTTGCACTCTGGGGAGAGCAGTACAAGCACAGAGGCTGAGGCACTTTGCTCAGCCTCTTCACATGAGGTTATCTAGCTTACCATTAAAGCTATTTTGTGCTCCTCATTCCTCCTGCCAGCTGAAGACCTTTAGGAAACAAGAAGCACATGTGGAGCTGTGAAAACTCAGCATCCATGGGCCTGGCAAGAAAGCCAGCACTCAGACTCCTCTCCAAATTATCCAAACAAAATTTTAAAGCCATTATAGGATGTCTAAGAGAAAGAGAAAAGGGATCAGTCATCTGAAAGCTACATTGTCTGCCCTCAGCTGAGGGGCAGAAGTCACCCATGCAATTATCTCGTGTAGATGTTCCTATTAACTGTGTTTTAACACAGGGATTGATGTAGAAAGGCAGGGGCAGTAGAAGATATATTTCACACAGAACTAGCTCAAGCAACCACAGTGGAGATGGGGAGAATTTTAGCCCTCCTAGAAGCCAAGAGCTGTTCATTAGCCAGCTATGGTGAGGAGATGGCTCCTAGATAAACAGAGAGAGAATGGCAAATGTAACTACAGGCAATAAATTTTCAGCCAGAGCATCCAGTCTCCTGGGTCAGGAATGAACAGGGTGGGGTTTGGGTGAAAAGACCTCTAGGGTCCTACAAAAGACTTCAGAAGGGAGATTGGTGGTAAGATCTAAGAGCCCTCTGAGATAACAGAGGGAGAGAGGGACAATGTGAAATGAGAATCTCTCTCAAGTGCTACTGAAAGACTTTTCTGATGGAAACTCCCTAGCAGAAGATTTTTTCTATGTATGAGTTTCCCTGATGGAAGCTATCAAGTAGAAGCAGCTGATACATGTTTTGAGGCTCTGACAACCCCCCTGGCAGGAGAGAGAGAGAGCACATCAGCTGAGCAAGAAAAAGGGAGGCTTTTCTGAAATACCTGCTCTTAGATTGGACATAGATTGGGGTGAGTTTTTCTCTTTATCTCTGTGGAGTCTTTTAGAAACATTTTCAACTTTATAAGTATGTATTTTATACATAAATATTTACCTTTCATTGTAAATTACATCTATTATAAACTATATATATATATATATAAAAATTAGGAAGAAATAGTTTGCCTTTTGGCTTGGCCTGAGTGTGATTTACTGGAAGGAGACAACAGAAAGACATTCTTTGCCTAACACCCCTAACAGATGGGTGCTTAAACCAGGTGGGACACTGGTAAAGCAGAAGTAAGAGATTTGTTTAATTGGAGGAGATCCTAAATGACTAAAAATGCCCTAAAACTATCAGATTTGAAGCTCAGGATGCAGCCTAACAGCACAGAGAGGGCTATCCTGTGAGCTGCATGGATGAGGCAGTGGAGAGGAGGCAGAAAGAGAGACTGTGACATCTCCAGAGCAGGGCCAGGCTGCTGGCACTGCAGACTGAAAGGTTTGCAGAGGAGTAATTAATTAGAAGCAACAGAGGAGCTGGCGGGCATGAGGAGAGCAAGTGGGCTGGGCTGATGAGACCTGTGCACCTCTGACAAGGCCAAGAGGGAGATAAAGCCCAGCTGCAGTCAAGAGGGAAAGCAAATCCAGAGCCTGCAACCCCAGCTGGCTGATATGTGATGTCTTGAGTGACTGATCCCACGTAGTTCTGCACCAGGGCTCAGAGCTGATGAGATGGAGGAGCTGGAAGGCTTGGCATGAGGCAGCAGCCCTGGTGCAAGGGGAACCTCTGAGACCTGCTGGAGAGAGGGTAAGCAACAGGAGCCTACGTTGCCATGCTGCCAGCTTCATGGTAGGGGCAGTGGAGGATGGACAGGTGGAGGAGTAGCACTATGCATGAGAGAGTATATAACTTACAACAGCATAAAAGTGTTATGGCTGAAGGGAAGCACCACAGGCTTCTTGTAGGCAGATATCCCATACTCTAATAATAAAAATATGGTACTCTGAATATGCCACCAAACTCCTCATCAGATTGATGGCAGTCTTCAGCAAATGCTAAGTGAGAGCAGAAGCTGAAAGCAAGAGCAGGCTCATCAGATTGATGGCAGTCTTCAGCAGATGCTAAGTGAGAGTAGAAGCTGAAAGCAAGAGCAGATTTGGGGTGTCTTTATAAAGATGTGGAGCTGCAGCAGAACAAGACATAATATCCATATGCAAGAAATGCCTGATTCCTGGAATAGTGAATCCTGCAAACAAATCCACAGCATAAAATGTCATTCTACATTTGGTCTTTATAAATACAGAGAAGGAACTGGTAAAGGATGTGCAGGGTGACAGTAAGTTTTGCAAGCCCACTGAGAGATGAAAGGCTGCTAGGGAACTAGCAGGGTTCTTGGTGATGGCAAAAGATCTCTCAGGGACAACAAGGCTAGAGCAGAGAAACTCAGTGAATTCACTCGTCCCCATCTCCAGGTAATTCCCCAGGCATTTTCATGCCTGATGCAGCAAACAGGTCAGAGGAGCCAGCTCCACCTGAGGGCTGTGTGCAGGAAACATTAAACCAACCAGGTAAGTGAGAGGGCAATAAGTAACCAGGACCAGATGACATTCATGGTCCCAAAGGATCTTACAAGTCACCTCATCCTCCCTGGCAATCAGGCACTGTGCCAGGGGACTGGCATGTCACCAACACAGCTCTCTTCTAGAGGAAGGGCTTCAGGAGCAGCTCGAGGGCGAGCTGGTTGTCTCAGTGCTGTGAGCTACCAACCACTGAGACCAATTTCCAAAGGGAAAGGGTGGCAGATGAGCATCAGGGTATTTTAATGTAAGGTGATGCCTTCTGGGAAAAATACTCTGGACCATACCTTTATGACAGGAGCTTGGAATTGGCTGTTACATTCAGGAAAGAGCATCTTGCATTGGCTTCACTATTTACTGCAGTCA